ACGTTTTTATACTTAAAGCAACAGCTGACATGACGGTAATACGATATAATACTGTTGTTACTACGAATAATTCCTAGATACATAGACAGTATCGGCATAAGGGAACATGATAAAAGGATCTAAACTACGTAGAGCAATTAAGGATTTATGACTTGCATGTCATTATACAGGCATAAACCTGTGTAGATTAAGATAAATTTGAGTGAATTAACGTTTCGCACTGTCAATTGTTGAATCTTGTAGACCACAGTGTTATTATTCTATTTTACTGATCTCAAGCCTCACGAGTTTATTGAGCTTTACTTACAGTACTAACGCAGAGAACACCTAATATCCAAATAACGTAACATAAGCTTACAAAAATTAATTTAGCAAACAACAACGCGTCAAAGATTACTATAATAATTATAGGATGACCTACATCGATTACTCAATTTTCACAGTATTTTTTACTACCACATACGAAGTATGATTTTACAATTCTCTAATCATATACGTACATTGTACGTACATCACGCATTCAATATCGAATAGTACAAAAAAAGCTAGTCACTCTCAAAAATATCCGTTTATGGCTTGATGGTTATGATCGATGATCGAGATAGTAATCTCTGCTATTGAAGTAGCAATGTAGCAAAGGGTTGGGTCCTAAATTGCTTCAAGTTCCAGCTAATTATAGTAATCCAAACTACAGTATTGATTGGACAGATAATTGCATATATAATTATATACAATAATTAATTAATCTGTACTATGACTAAATACACCAATACAGTACAGTGCTTAGTATATAGAATGCAATCAGTGATGTCATCACCGATTGCTGAGCGAATTCGAGACCCTGAAAGTCAGTCATTTACATATAATCATAATTTTAGGGAAAATATATAATTACTACTCACTAAAAGTGCACATTTTCAGAGCACTGGGCTATCTGTCATAAACTGAGACCTGCTGACTCTCGGACTCTCCATACAGTGTACACTTGTGTAGTAAATCGACAGTAGAGCCTGATAGATACTATGGTTCAATCAAATAAGGTACTGTTTGGAAGATACCTTTTTGAGAAATTCTATGGAACTTTACTGATGTGACGACTTTATATTGGGTTTTTAGATCAATCTGGCCCCCTTTTTTAACCAATGTAACCTCATTGTAACGTAATAACAACTATGGCGGTTCAGAAAAATGTCGATATAAATGTTATAAATACCGCACACTACGATACCATTCTACGCTATTAATTAATTTTCCCATAAATAATAATGTACTGTAATACTATAGTTCATAGAGTATAGTATGCTACCATGATGCTACGTTCTGTCCAGTGCGGTGTACAGTAACTGTACCGTTCCTGCCTCATCGAATAGCGAAAATAAGGTGTTTTATGACTCAATATAACCCCTTACAACCGAGAGAGATATACTTTACTATTATCATCAAATGATCACGAAGTTTCACATTAAAGTCCCTAAACAGAGTTGTCAAATCTACACGCATCTATTATAGTTAATTAATAAATAATAAATTAAACTTTATCAGAATAAAAATAACTACATATCGACCGATCATGTTTACAGTGGCAGTAAAATTGAGTGTGTAATGTGTATGATGTGCAGCCTACATGCTGCACTTTATATCTCTAGAGAATGACGATGTCATGAAGGAACTGCATCAGTAATAATACGTCAATAGAACATATATTAGTCATCCTTACTATCTAAGTAGTGCTCCAAGTAAAGCACGGAGGCCATATTCTGTTTTCGGCGGATATTCCGCGCCCTCTGAGCTCGTTAATAATGATGCAGGCTTTATTATGAACCGTACGCAAACTTCTACGAACCAAACACAGTTTGCAGTGTGCATGTAGCAGTACTGTATGAACCAAAGGGGTAATACTGTAAAATACTTTAGTAGTCTGTGTGTCTGTCTGTACTGTACTTACAGTACACACTTCAGTACGGCGTGTACTGTACAGTGTACAGTACAGTACTGTACTGTGCAGTGCACAGAGAGGTCTTGCCTTGTACTGTACAGTATACAGTAGTCCTACAGTAAGGATGATTACAGTACAAGGACTCTGTGACTGCCTGTACTGTACTGTAGTTCAGCATTGACAGACGATGTAAACAACGAGATACGCGTACACTCTGCTAGATTAGTGGATTGCTAATGGAGAACACCATAGGGTACAGCACAAAATATATTTTTGACTTGTTTAGGATGATTGATGCGATTTTCACTAATATTTAATTAATACATTCAAGCTTTACAACTTATTATTCTTATAGTTTGCCCTCACATAGCACGAGTACCATCTATTTTAACAGCGCTGCATATGTACTCTACAATACTCTGTAATTTCAATGCAAATGTTTTGTCTTGATGTTGATCATTTAGTGCTGCTGGAGATCCTCAAACTGTGTACCTTGACTTCAACGCAACAACACCTGTAGCTCCAGAGGTATTAGAGGCTATTCATCATGCCCTTAAAGATTGTTGGGGGAATCCAAGTAGTTCCCATCATTACGGTAATCATATAAAATTTTGCCTATAAATGGGGTGCTAGCGCCTACTCTAAAATAATATAACTTTCAGTGCTAAGCTTGAAGAGAGACCTGATCTCCTAATTTACAGCTTTGATCTGTCGTACTGGATACAGTACTGTGAATTATGTACTGTATAATTAATTATCACCCTACATCAAATAATAGTTACTAGTGCAAACTCCCGTCGCTTTGCAGACGGTTTACGATAATGTGCTCATTTAACAGATAGTATTACCATTTGATAGACCTGTCAGAGGTTCAGTAACTTTTTACCGTGTGAGTTAATTAATTCTTACTGAAATATAATTAAGATACGATTCATTAATAAATAAATAGGCATCAAAGCAAAGAAGGTTATTGACGAAGCCAGAACTAACGTAGCAAGAATGATTAATTTGGACGATGCATCTGGTACAGGATAATAAACAAAATTGAATGTAATAATAATGTTACAGGAATTAAAACTTGCCAATGGAAGCGAGTGTCAGAATTTTTACTAACCAAATTATGTATTATTATGATATTGATCAAATTAGATATCCTTTTTACATCGGGCGGAACAGAGGTAAGCTACTGTTTCTGCAAATCGACGTATAGCTTTCTTTTTTAGTAAATGTTAGTGATTATCTTGCAAATTTATTTTTCAATATTCTAGGCCAATAACATGGTTATAAGATCTGTTACTACACATTATTCCAGACTTTGCAAAGAATCTGATGATCTACCGCATATAATTACCTCTAATATGGAACATGACTCTGTCAAATTAGTGCTGGAAAAACTAGCAAATGAAAATATCCTCGGTATAATGCCAATAGAAATTAACTAATTATTTAATATATAATCATTTCTTCTATATTTACACAAAGTCCAGTTAGAAATGCGTGATTGCAGATTCTTTTTTTCAAAATAACCGTCTACTTTTTTACTACTCCAAGGTTCTAGAGCGAAATCATAGATTCGCTTTATGCAATTAAAATTTGCTGTTCTTTAGTTATTTTACTGGCATATCTACTCTTGATCTCATAGAATACACAGTTGTAAATGCTACTCAAGCTTCAGGGGGAACTGTAAAATGTGATGGCATTACTCAGTTAGTTAGGTAATGCACATTTTCATACGTTAGATTTGCCTTATTGATTTTCAGAAATCGAATGTAACACGATTGCTTACTTTCAATTGAATTCATTAGCAGCGTGATTTATTATTATCACTATCCGTAAAAACCAGAATCAATTGAATTATGAATTTTCACTCACAGGCCAAATACTTGTTTGATTTCAATTATGCTTGCAAACAATGAAACTGGAATAATCCAAGTAATTCCTAAATATTAATGCTTTAGTTAATATTTAATTTCGATGAAATTAAAATCTATAATGATCACATATAATTCTCGCTTATTAATGTACCAACATTACAAATATTCA